CGGTTGGTGTCCAACTCTTTGTGACTGCAGCACAGCAGGCTCCACGGTCCTCTACTATTTCCCAGTGTTTGCTCAAACTGATGTCCACTGAGTCAAAGATGCTATCTATCCATCTCATCCTCTGCTGCTCTTTTTCCCTTTTGCCTTAAATCTTTTACAGCATCAGGGTCTTTTCTAATGAGTCAGCTTTTTGCATCAGGTGGCCAAAGTATTAGAGCTACAGAATCAGTCTTTCCAATGAACATTTAGGGTTGATTTTCTTTAGGACTGACTGGTTTGATCTCCCTACAGTCCAAGAGAATTTTAAGAGTCTTCTCCAACATCACAGCTCTAAAGTATCAGTTCTTCAGGGCTCAGCCTTCTTTATGGTCCAACTCTCATATCCATACATGACTACTGGAAAAACTGTAGCTTTGACTAGACAGACCTTTGCTGGCAAAGTGATGTCTCTGCTTTTTAATACACTGTATGGGTTAAACTGACTCACATGCTATATACCTAATACTCTAAATCAACTTTCAAAAGAGGGAAAGGGAGGAAAGGGGGAAGAAAAGGAGGGAGTGAGAGAGAGAGAGAGAGAGAGAGAAAGGAAGGGAAAGAGTGAGGAAGCGGTGGAGGGGGGAGAGAGAGAAAGAAAGAGACAGGCAGAAAGAAAGAACCGAAGGAAGGAAAGAAGAAAGGAAGACAAAAAATCTCCAGGGTTATGATGAAGGTAGATAGATGGATCTTCTATTTTAGGGGAACTATACCCTATCCTATTCCCTAAAGAATGAACATTTTAATTGCTTTGCCAATAACCGTAACAGATTTGTTACAGGTCAGTTACTTCTGTTCAGCAATTTGATTTTTATCTATGTCATCTATGGCCACAAAAGAAAGCAATATTGACAGGTGCTGATGGAGATCAAACAAGAAACTTTCTTCTAATTATCATCAGGTTCTAGTTAACTGAGTTAATCCAATACTGTCATACCACCACAATTTTTTTCACAATTGATTTCACAATATAAGTAAACAATCTCATCAAATGGTTAGGAAGGACTCTAGATATTAAACTATTACAGTTTGTCTATTGAAAGCTCTCATAGTTGATAGCATGGAACTTACATCAGTGCTGTTAACAGAAGAGACAGAAATGAATGTATGCACTTGGCTACAACATTCTACCACAGAGAAACATACAAAAATATTATACAGAATTGAAGATTAAAATTTTATTCTACAGCAATCTGATAGCAAATGGTTCACTTAAATTCACAAATAAGGAAAAGTGAAAAATACACACCCTGCTTAAAGATTATAGCTTATCCTATAAAATGTTTTTCCTTATCTCTGTAGTAGGTTCATGAATGAAAGTTTCATATTAAATAAGTCAGATATTTAAAATGGTAGAGATATTTGACTAAATAATATGATGAATTAAATGGATATAAATGCTTGTAGTTTATATTAGTTAAGGGAAATATTCTTCATTGGCTGGGAAAAATAAATAGTAACAGTAAAATATTAACTGCAAAGCAGTTGATTATTAAAAAGACACTTTCACAATGCCAATCAATGAGACTTTACTAAACTAACCACTAAAGCAGCAGTCTGGGGAATGTCAATTAGCAGTAAGTTTCTCCAATGCTTGTTCCCATTACTACAGAATTAATAAAACATGTTTACGTATTGCCTTGAGCAAACCTGAAGAATACTGCCAGTGCAATCTGAACTATAATTACATATTCATAATACCCTCCTTAATGAGAAATTCTCATTTATTCTTCATCTACTTCCCAAGTTTAACTAACTTTAGGAAAAATTCCAGTAAAAATTACCTAAAATCTCATGGCAATGTACTTTCAATTTTATCCTTTTTCCAATTATACATGACACAAATGTAGTTCTTTGAAGACACAATGCCTCCCAAGACCTTATGCCACATACTCCCAAAATTATATAATTAAAATTATTTTGAAAGTGTCTACATCCATAGTTTTGCACCAACTAACGTGAAGCTACAAAATGCAGTATTCTTAACTTCATCATGTCATACAGATTTCAAAACATATAAGAAGTGGAGATAAGGTAGTTAATTCTCTATTTACCTCAAGAGGCAAATAGAACTTGTCTCCTCTATAAGATAACATAATATAAAATGGAAAATTTGTTGTAACAGTAAAATAGAGGAATAGAAGTTAAGAGTTTTATGGGAAGGAAGAGAGCCCATCATTGTAAAGGGATACCTTAGGCTTAGTAGATATAATCTTCTAACAAAGAAACAAAGATATGAACAAACCTTAGAAGAGATGTGTAACTACTATATCTTAAGTCAACTAAAGTTTATACTCCTTGTACCTTAAGAATAATACCTCTGTAGATACCAAATTAGTCACTTCACTGAAAAGTCACTTCACTGAGCAACTTCAATTTCTTTGAAAAGTCACTTCACTGAGCAACTTCAATTTCTTTCCAAGTGTTTCTGAAAATCAGATTACATTTTAGATCTAGAGTAATTATTAAAAAAGAAGAAAGCATATGGCTTCAAATAATTCCAGAAAAGAAAATGAACTAGTAAAATAAGAAATCAATTTAGGATTTATTTTGGCAAATGTTAAGTATGAAGTCATAGCATGTCACCAAAGAGACCACCTGAGCTAATTAATCCTGGTTCCCAAAACGAAATTGTCTGTATAGAATTCAATCCATTTCTTAAGATAAAAGTCTGGAGAGAAAACAGGTGTGAGACACCTTTTATTTTGGTAGATACTTTTACATCAAGAAAAAGTCAATCATTCTTTAGGAAGTCTGACATCACTATTGATGATCTAGAAATTTCTCCACCAGTTAGCCACAGAAAGCTGAAATTTATTGTCAATCTTGAAATACATACAAACTGGTAATCTAAACAGTTTGGTTTTTGGGGGTTTTTTTGCCTTTTTTTTTTTTTAATTTGTACCATTGTGGGTTTTTTTCCCATTTATTTTTATAAGTTGGAGGCTAATTACTTTACAATATTGTAGTAGTTTCTGCCATACATTGACATGAATCAGCCATGGATTTACATGTATTCCCCATCCCGATCTCCCCTCCCACCTCCCTCCCCAGTTTGTCTTCGTGACTGTTGTGGATACAGAATATATTGCACAGTCTGTTGAGAGAGATGAAAATATACTTCTAGAAGCCTGGAACTAACTATATTCTAAATAGTCAACTGAAAGTCCCCAACCACTAAAACAAAATAAAATCATGATCCTGTATCCTTTATTTAGACTCAAATAAAATTTTAGGTAGGAAAAACCCTCCAGCACTCCAGGCCTCAACAGATCACGGCTGGAAGAATTTGAAGCCTATGATACATGGATGATAATTTCAGGCACAACAAAACTGAGATCAAACTACAGACTCAATACTCAGCTCTCTACATTAATGGCCTGACAGAAGAAAGGACATAAATATTTCTGGCCATCAGTTTTGTTTATCTCAAGTCTCTACTGTTTTGTTGCACAGACTATCCAATATTCAAACAAAATTACAACAAACACAAGAAAGCAAGAAAAACAAATCTATTATTAAGGCATAAAATCATCAACAGAACTGAACCCAGACATGTTGAAACTATCAAAGAGGTACTTCAAAATAACACAATTAATAAGCTAAAGGAATTAGTGGAAAAAGTGGGTAATACGTCAAATAGGAAATTTCAACAAAAAGATGGAGATTACAAAGGGGTGTGAAATGGAAATGCTAGAAATGAAAACTGCAATATCAGAAAGAATACCTTTGATGCCCTTATCAGCAAGAAGGGCACAGAAGAAGAATAAGTAAACTGTGAGGATAGGACAAGAGGAATTATCCAAACTTTCAAAACACAAACTCAAGAAAAGATTGAAAAAACACAAAATAGAGCATTCAAGACTGTAAAACAACATCAGAAGGTTTTACATATGTGAACTCACAGTCTCAAAATGAAAATACAGAGAAAATGGGGCCAATTATTTAATACTTTCATTATCACAAACTCAATGGGGGTTTTAGGCTTCATTTTACTTCTCTACACTTTATGCTTGGAGGTTACAGGACTTTTAAGAGACTATATAACTAAAGAAAAGAGTGTATAAGTAAATTATCTATCATTCTAACAGTAATTTCACCTTGGAGCCTCCATGTTCATATGCAAAATACAATGCGTTATGTTCAACATTGCAGTTGTGGTTTTGAAGATGCGTGTAGGTTTTACCATTTGTTTCATCTATCTTCTTTTTGTTGTTGGGGCCCTCTTCTAAATTACATTTTTCTTCCTTCATTTCACTGTATTCATTATTTTCTTTTCATATTATATCCTTTAAGCTATTTTATTAAGAAATAACTCAAAATTATTCAATAGTTCAGATTGAGAGAGCAGATCAAGATCCAATGTGCTCCATTCAACAAAGTTTGTACCTATACTTTCCAGTTACACAAATATCCATTTGTTCCCCCCACCAAGACAGAATATGATTATCTCCATGGCTCACAAAAGCCATAACCCCAGTTCATTTCCAAAATGGATGCATATACTACAGCTTCTGAGCCATTAGGCCAGTCCTATATCATACCCTTTGACAAAACATATTTTACAGCTCATTTCTCATAAATATAATTTCACTGTACACAACTGATACTAAATCTGCTCTTTTTCATGGCAAGGAGTTCAACTCTATTTTCATGGTTTACTGCTATTAATAAACGAAGCCCCTATTTCTAAAAAATACAAAGTGAGCAAAAATGAAGAGCTACTTCAGTATGTCTGCCAATGACAACCTTAAAAGGGAACTAGTACAATTCAATTTCAAAAGACCTAATAAGACAGGAGGGAAGAGTAATATATTAACCTAGTACTAAGCACCATTCATTTCTTACAAAAGAGTAAAGTTCTATAAACTCAAAATCTAACAATGTTAAAGTGTCAGTTAAAAACAGAAGCAACAAAGCCCTAAACATCAGCTCCTCAATGAAAAGTTCTTCTAGACACTTACCCAAGTCTTCCCAGCATCTCAAGCTCAGGAACCTGTGGTCCACATGTCTCTATCTGCAGTGGTTGGTATTCATACAGAGCTTCTTCAAGTTTCTGAATGGGTGCTAATGAAATATGCTGACCCTGTTAGAAAAATGAAATAAAATAATACTTGTAAATATTACTTTCATATCACTACTTATTTGCAGTTTTTAAAGATGAGCTAAATTTCCTCACGTTAAAAACATTACCTGTTTTTTGGCTATACTACCCAAAGCAATCTACAGATTCAATGCAATCCCTATCAAACTACCAACGGTATTTTTCACAGAACTAGAACGAATAATTTCACAATTTGTATGGAAATACAAAAAACCTCGAATAGCCAAAGTAATCCTGAGAAAGAAGAATGGAACTGGAGGAATCAATCTGCTTGACTTCAGACTATACTACAAAGCCACAGTCATCAAGACAGTATGGTACTGGCACAAACACAGAAATACAGATCAATGGAACAGAATAGAAAGCCCAGAGATAAATCCACGAACCTATGGTCACCTTATCTTCGACAAAGGAGGCAAGGATATACAATGGAAAAAAGACAACCTCTTTAACAAGTGGTGCTGGGAAAACTGGTCAACCACTTGTAAAAGAATGAAACTAGAACACTTTCTAACACCATACACAAAAATAAACTCAAAATGGATTAAAGATCTAAATGTAAGACCAGAAACTATAAAACTCCTAGAGGAGAACATAGGCAAAACACTCTCCGACATAAATCAAAGCAGGATCCTCTATGACCCACATCCCAGAATTTTAGAAATAAAAGCAAAAATAAACAAATGGGACCTAATGAAACTTAAAAGCTTTTGCACAACAAAGGAAACTATAAGCAAGGTGAAAAGACAGCCCTCAGATTGGGAGAATATAATAGCAAATGAAGCAACAGACAAAGGATTAATCTCAAAAATATACAAGCAACTCCTCCAGCTCAACTCCAGAAAAATAAATGACCCAATCAAAAAATGGGCCAAAGAACTGAACAGACATTTCTCCAAGGAAGACATACAGATGGCTAACAAACACATGAAAAGATGCTCAACATCACTCATTATCAGAGAAATGCAAATCAAAACCACAATGAGGTACCATTACACACCAGTCAGGATGGCTGCTATCCAAAAGTCTACAAGCAATAAATGCTGGAGAGGGTGTGGAGAAAAGGGAACCCTCTTACACTGTTGGTGGGAATGCAAATTAGTACAGCCACTATGGAAAACAGTGTGGAGATTTCTTAAAAAGCTGGAAATAGAACTGCCATATGACCCAGCAATCCCACTTCTGGGCATACACACCGAGGAAACCAGATCTGAAAGAGACACGTGCACCCCAATGTTCATCGCAGCACTGTTTATAATAGCCAGGACATGGAAGCAACCTAGATGCCCATCAGCAGACCAATGGATGAGGAAGCTGTGGTACATATACACCATGGAATATTACTCAGCCATTAAAAAGAATTCATTTGAATCAGTTCTAATGAGATGGATGAAACTGGAGCCCATTATACAGAGCGAAGTAAGCCAGAAAGATAAAGACCATTACAGTATACTAACACATATATATGGAATTTAGAAAGATGGTAACGATAACCCTATGTGCAAAACAGAAAAAGAGACTCCGATGTATAGAACAGACTTGTGGACTCTGGGAGAAGGCGAGGGTGGGATGTTTCAAGAGAACAGCATCGAAACACGTATATTATCTAGGGTGAAACAGATCACCAGCCCAGGTTGGGTGCATGAGACAAGTGCTCCGGCCTGGTGCACTGGGAAGACCCAGAGGGATTGGGTGGAGAGGGAGGTGGGAGGGGGGACCGGGATGGGGAATACATGTAAATCCATGGCTAATTCATTTCAATGTATGACAAAAACCACTACAATGATGTAAAGTAATTAGCCTCCCAATTTTTTGATTGGGTCATTTATAAAAATAAATGAATAAAAATAAATAAAAATAAATGAAAAAATTAAAAAAAAAATTACCTGTTTTTCATTACATTACTGAAATCCTCATTATATAATTAACATACAGTGACAAATAATTTAAAGGAAGAAAACCAAATCCATCATTAAACTCAAATTTAGCCTTGAAGAGTAGTTGTTCAATGTCAATGGTTAAAGTGAAAAGTGTTAGTTGCTCAGTCGTGTCTGACTCTGCGATCACATGGACTATAGCCTGTCAAGCTCCTCCGTCTATAGGATTTTCCAGGCAAGGATATTGGAGTGGGTAGCCATTTCCTTCTCCGGAGGATCTTCTCGACCCAGGGATCGAACCTGGGTCTCCTGCACTGCAGGCAGATTCTTTACATCTGAGTCACCAGGGAAGCCCAATGTCAATAGCAGAATTCACCAAATATATAAGCATAATCTATTCTCACATTTCCCTATTACAATTTTGATAATTTATGCTTTCTTGAAAGTCTTAGGAAGCACAGTAATGAAATTATTATGTGCAAAGTTTTGTCACAGAAATGTCTATTCTGAGTCTATAATGGAATTACTTACTTATCAAATGTGTGTATTTGATGTCTACTTACACACACACACACACAAACACACACACACAAAGAGAAAAGTTTATGTTAAAAACTAAATTGGATAAAATATCCACATATTTTTCTGAAAAGAACTACTGGAAAACTAAAATTAAAAGAACATATTTAATTAAAAATATACAAAATAAAATGCCACTCAGCTACATAGCACCATTACATTGAGATTTCCATATTTATAATCTGAGTAGAGAATTCTAATTTTTGAATATGTGTATTTTTTTTTACAGTCCATGTTTTCTGATTCTAACTATAGTTCTGTTAATTTTCTTGGTATAGTTCTCATCAGTTTCTCTATGTCCTAACTTTCTAATAAAAACTAGTTCTTACAGTTATTAGTTCCAATATTTTCTAGTTTTTAGTTTATTTCTCTTATTACCTCCCTTAGTTTCCTTTTCTTTTTCCCCTATATTACTAAATTGGATACATAAAACAACTGTTTTCTGTTTTATTGAAAGGAGGAAGAAGAAAAGGTAAAGACCATGACTTAGAAGTGCAGCTGAGGCAGTGACGAAGGACACACTGACAACGTCTGCGTGTGACTCGCGGTTTTTCTCAACAACCTTAATGCCCTGCGACAAGATCTTAGCTAGCTTAACGTAATGTCAATAGCTTCTCTGACACTGGGACCTCAAAAGTCCATCACCAAATTTGGGGAAAGGACTTGAAAAAAACATTTCTCCAGAGATGCACAAATGGCCAATAAGCACAAGGAAAGATGACTAACATCACTAGTCATTAGGAAAATCCAAATCAAAACTACAATGTTATACGCCATCCCTCAGTATCTCTGGAGGTGGAGGGAAGGTCTGGTTCCAAGATCCAGATACTAAAATTCACAGAAGCTCGTCATAAAATGGCATACTCGTACAGTCAGCTCACTCCATCCCCAGATTCCTCATCCCTGGGTTCTTTGTCCACAAACTGACCAAACCCAGATGGAATTTCATGGTTGGTTGAATCCATGGATGTGCAACCCACAAATACAGAGGGCCGCACTGTAGCACTTAACACCCACAGCTATTTAGGATGCCTGTTATCCAGAACAAAAACAAAAAACACAAAAAATAACAAGCATTGGCAAGGATGTGGAGAAACTGGAACACATGTGCATTGCTAATGGCAATGTAAAATGGTGCAATTAATACAGAAAACAGACAGCAGTTCCTCAAAAGATTAAATATAAAATTACCACATGAGCCAGGCTTTCCTGGTGACTCAGAAGGCAAAGAATCCACCTACAAAGCAGGAGATCCAGGTTCAATCCCTAGGTTGGGAAGATCTCCTGGGGAAGGAACTGGCTATCCACTCCAGTATTTCTGCCTGGAGAAATCCCCAGAGGGACAGACAGGCTACAGTCATGGGGTTGCAAAGAGTTGGACCCAACTGAGCAACGAACATTTGCACCTGCACTACCATATGAGCTAACAACTCCATTTCTTGGTTATACCCAAAAGGAAGGAAAGCAAGAACTTAAACAGTCGTGCTCATAGCAGCATTATTCACAATAGCCAAAAGATAAAAGTAACCCATGTTTCTATCAATTAATTAATGAATAGGGTATACAACATTATGGAATATTTTGTTCCTGTTCAGTCACTAAGTCATGTCCGACTCTTTGTGACCCCATGGAATGCCACACCAGACTTCCCTGTCTTTCACCATCTCCCAGAGTTTGCTCAAATTTATGTCCATGGAGTCAGTGAGCTATCTAACCATCTCACCCTCTGCTGCCTTCTTCTCCTTTTGCCTTCAATCTTTCCCAGCATCAGGGTCTTTTCTAATGAGTCGGCTCTTCACATCAGGTGGTCAAAGTATTGGAGTTTCAGCTTCAGCATCAGTCCTTCCAAGGAATAGTCAGGACTGGTTTCCTTTAGAATTGACTGGTTTGATCTCCTTGCTGTCCAAGGGACTCTCAAAAGTCTTCTCTAACACCACAGTTTAAAAGCATCAATTCTTCAGTGCATAGCCTTCTTTATGGCCCAACTCTCACATCCATACATGACTACTGGAAAAACCATTAAGTTTGACTATATGGATTTTTGTTGATAAAGTGATGTCTTTGATTTTTAGTATGTGTCTAAGTTTGTCATAAGTTTTTCTTCCAAGGAGCAAGTGTCTTTTAATTTCATGGCTTCAGTCATCGTTCACAGTGATTTTGGAGCCCAAGAAAAGAAAATCTGTCACTACTTCCACTTTTCCCCCTTCTATTTACCATGAAGTGACGGGACTGGATGCCATGATCTTAAGTTTTTTTAATGTTGAGCACTTAAGTCAGTTTTCTGACTCTACTCTTTCACCCCACATTGAAGCTCTTTAGTTCCTCTTTACTTTCTGTCATTAGAGGGTATCATTGGCATATATAAAGTTGTTGATATTTCTTCCAACTATCTTGATTCCAGTCTGTGATTCATCCAGCCTGGCATTTCCCATGATGTAACTGTAAATAAGTTAAATAAACAGGGTGACAATATACAGCCTTGCTGGACCCTTTTCCCAATGTTGAACCAGTCAGTTGTTCCATATA